CTCACTCACTCACTCACTCAAACATCGTTCCAGCTTTCCAACTGTATCTTAATCCTTTTTGTTTCCCCAGATTTATCGAACTGTAAAAGCCCTCATTTCACTTATTACGGCATTAAACATCCATTGATCAACACAATAATTGCAAGCGTAAACTTCAGTTTAACAATACAGCCATCATCCACTGATGCAGCTTATTTACTCAGGCAATCAGTGGAGCTGCGTATGTCTTTATCACTCATCAATGAGCCCAGGTTGCAGGTTACATTGCATTGTACAATACCCAGCTGCCCATCAATATGGGTTGTAATTTCTGTCCAATTGATTTCCAAATAAGCTCTCTTTTTGCAGTGTTTCTATTTCCGAGTTATTCTTACTGTAATGGAATATCAAGTCCTATCCAATAATGAGAACAAATCGTAATAAAGGATGTTGGCGATATGATTGATTTTTACCCTGTAAGGAGCTGCGTACACATCACTGTTGTAATGAGCAATTATTAAATGCAAGAACAAGAATGATATTTCATCAGATAGGGTGATGTAATCAGGCTGCCATGTCACGGTTGAAGTAGCCGGTTTGTTGTGGTGGGAAGCCGATGAGACTTAGTGTGTGGGTGGTTATGAGGGGATGGACTCCAGACACTTCATGGATGGTGACAGACACCCCTAGTGTACAGTACACAACCCTGTGCACTTAAAAGAACCCACGATTCCGTTGGTATTTGACCAAATGGTGGCCACATGAATACGTGCAAACACCTAGTTGCGGGTACAGCAACGTGTAGTGAACATGGACAAAGTACTGTGACTATGTGTCCCAGTCCACCCAGCTGCGAATGGGTACCTCGTTAGGTTGAGAAAGCCACAAAACTTCGTGCGCCTAGTGGCTGCAAGAGTTGTATACTCCCCAGGGAGTTGAGATTGATAATGCGATGTGCCGTTGAGATTGACATCCAATGATCGAGGGAAAAAATACCAGCGCCTTGAGCATGCACTAGTGCGTGGATATGTGCGCTATATAAATATCCTATAATAATGGATGGTAACCATTGCATCTGCGAACACTTCTGATGTTGTAGTGTTTGACAAACCGAATTAAGCATTATTTTGGAACGTGTATTTCCCGGTTTTAAGAAACCATCCATCTGTCAATGTCTTATCTGTCTGGAGCTGAAGTCTAAACGGTTTCAATATTTCTTGATGAAGCTTGTTATGCAGATCAGTTTAGAGGTGAACTGGTTCCTTTGGATGATTTTTGAGACTAGAAAATACAGAACAGAATTAATGTCAATGAAACATTCGTTATAAATCCAAGGGCGGTAGCTTGTGGTTAAAGCATTCGCTTGTCACGCTGGTTCCCCACATGGGTACAATGTGTTAAGCCCATGATTGGTGTCCCTCACCTTGATATTGCTTGAATATATCTGAATGCAGCGTAAAACTAAACTCACTCACTCCAAGACAAGTTCTTCCTTCCTTTTCATACAACCAGTCATCGTAAACCTCAGTGAAATACTTGACTGCTGTGCCTCTCCAATGCTCCTTACAGTTTATCTACTCCATCAAACCCAACTTATGGTTGAAAACCTCATTGTAACACAATAATTTCCTAACTCAATTACCAATTCAAGTTCTCTCCGGTTTAAATGCTCTGATAATTGTCCTTTGAGCAGAGCTGAGCGTTACTCGATGAAAGATCAAGGCAAGCTAATGAAGAAGATTCACTGATCTGATAAAGATCCCATTAGTCTAATTAGAGACTTAGCTCCAGGCTAAAATGCCTAACATTGGGGGGTTGTCACTGTTGGAATGTGGTCAGTTGATTACCACATCAGGAAATCAGGAAATTTGTCGTTATTTTAGATGACTAATAACTTACAAGCTAATTAGAAATTAATCATTAGTCCTGAACCACATACTGACCACAGATTGGTCAGTGTAGAGTGTAGGGTTCTTTATTTCACACGAACAGTACTGGGTTGCAGGTTCATGGTGGGACCATTCAGCTGGAAGGTTGTAAGTGTCGGGTCTTTAACTACAGGTTTTGTAGCCAAATCATTGGAGATGTATAGGGATCAAAATTAACTTGTATTTTCACTTTTTCCGCAAATATGATGTTCTGTCGAGTCCTACACTACAGTATTCAGGTAGTCCACAAGGAAACGAATCTAGTCTAGCAGGCTTTTGTTAGTGTAAACCCTGGATCATGTCAAGGTTCTACTTGTTTTCTGATGATAATGATGGCGATGAGAGGTGTGGAGGAAATCTCAAACAAGTCAATCAGACATTTATTGATCTTTTTCTCCAATACTATGAGTTCATGCTTTCCATTGACAGATTAAATATGTAGTTCAAACTTTCTGGTCAGTCTGTCATAGTTTAATGTTGAACAAGCTCGGAAAGTTCAATTTATGGACAATTGACCTACTTTGGGATTCAAACCAGGGTTTACTGGAGAACACACTACCAACTAGGCTAACGTCAGTGGTGGAAGTGTGAGTGATTGTTGGGATCTTTTTGTGTGTGTATTAGGTGCATCGGCAGTCTTGATATAATATGTGTCTGTCAAAAATAGGTCTTGTAACTAAAATGGGACACAGGATGTAGAATGCTGTTTTGACATGTCATACCTTTTCCTTCCTTTTTTAGATAGCATGAAAATTGTTATTTAATGTATGCAAAATATGCTGTTAGAGGGCTAACATTGCATGCAAGCAGCTGTGAAAACATGTATGTACTAAGATGAACGTAACCACAGTCTTCAAGCACTTGTTTATTTTTTAATGTTATTTTGGGGGTCATATCTCAAACTTTGACCTTTCACATTCCTGGCATTTGAACATTAACAAATCTTCAGGTATATGCCAGCTCAACTCTCAGCGTTAACACATAACCCAGATGTTACATTAACAAAGGTTCAGGGAGTGTCAGGTCCATGCATCTCCGCGTAGCCCAGTGGAATGCTGCTGTTGATGATGATGCTGATTAGGGACAGGGTGTATTTCCTGGAAGAGGATAGTCTCTGTTTGCATGGATGAACTTGCAGTTTGTTGAGGGCAGTTATTACTGGACTGTGGGTCACACTCACTTAGAGTTCATCTCACTTTGCAGTGTTTATAATTATGGGGTTCTAGGGGTTCTTTGGGTTTGATTTAGGGACTACTCACTTTTTAACTTTTAACTTCAGGGTTATGGCATTTAACCCCTGAGTTTCAAACTCAAATTTGACCACTGCTGTGGATTTGATAGGACACAACAAGTATCAGACTGAATCTTGAAGAGTATGATTTTGCTGTATTTGTTTCTAATATTTGAGAGTAAGATGACAAAGTTGGATTGCAACTTCTTTATTCTTGAAGTTGTTCTGTTGCTGAAGTAATGATGCAATGTTAATTTTTAACTCACTCCATCAATGCTATGTTTTGGTACTGATGCCAGTAACAGTACCTTTCTCATAAACACTTACTCTTAGTGCAGAGGACCTGTGAAGGCCCGGGTTAGAATGAACCTTCAGTAACCCATGCTTGTCGTAAGAGGCGACTAACGGGATCAGGTTTTCAGGCTCGCTGGCTTGGTTGACACATGTCATCGGTTACCAATTGTGCAGATCGATGCTCATGCTGTTGATCACAGGATTGCCTGGTCCAGACTGGATTATTTACAGACATATAGCTGGAATATTACTGAGTGCGGCATAAACTAAACTCACTCACCCCTTAGTGCAGAGCCTCTCAACAATGTGTGCTTCACTGACATGCCAAGTACTCACATCATGAACCATTGAGTGTTTCAAATTCAAACAGAATCCTAGTGTTACAGCTGAGATGCTAGTGATTTTGAAATAAATGGCTTTGTTTTGGAATTGCTATTGTTGGTCTGGTTATCTGTCCGATAGAGAGACTTTGATGTAGGTGATGTGCTCCAGCTGCATGTTTACCACTGTTCCACCAACAGTGTACATTTATCCACCTTTAGACTTCCCGTACACTCCTACTTTCCCATCATCTGTATTTAAGAAATACAGTTCGCTCTACCACCATGTATAATGTAATAAAGCACACTTTTGCCCTGAACTATTATACTTAAGCACAAGGACGGTAGAGCGAACTGTATTTCTTTTCCAAGATGCCAAATTAATACTTTCTAAGGATAATTACGATTAATCTAAAGCAGAAAACAAACGACGGTGTCGGTGACTTAAATTAAGAATCCTCGCACAGGGCTAACTGACGCGCTGTTCTATTGATGTGTAAGATGAACGTTACCAGAAAACAACAAATGATAAATAGTTTGATGACGGTTTTACGTTTGGATTAAATATCTTCTCTAAATTATTTAATTACATCTGTCATTAACGTAAACCATGTGGGACAATATGAACGTCGCATTTCTACTGCCAACGTAAGTTTAGATCAGTACATCCAGATGAAGCTGACTAGTCAAGCAACATTCCACGATTGGATTGTTGGAATGTAAACATTGCGAACATTACAGTTTCGCTGTAAAACTTTGTCAAATTTGAGACGTAATGTTTCCAACAGTGATGTTACTTAGCTGAGTGAAGCAACTGCAAACCAAGAAATGGGATGCAAAGTAGTAGTTTTCTGTATTAGGCTGTACGAGGTGATGACAACCGACATGCATCGTGACGTCGGTTAGATTGTGACATAATGCAAAAGTGTTCAATTATGAGGGGGCAGACTAGAATGGCGCAAAGACGTCAATACATTGTGACGTAATGCAAAAAGTGCACATTATCATCTGATAAAGTACTGTCGGCGCCTTTGATCTTTCACCGTAGCATCTTAGAAAATATAATGTGTCTCTTAGAGCCATCGTGTCCACACAGTGTTTCAGCTGTCATATTAATAGAGCAGTAATATTTGAATGGTAATTTGTATTTGTCTGCCTATGACTGTTGGCTTTTGTTCAGTCCATTCAGTCCATGTTACCCAACCACAACTGTGTGAGTAAAAAATGTTGTTGTTATTGTTGTTGCAGATGACGGAGGGTCGGAAGAGCCAGATTGTGCTGATGGACGAGCGGCGGCTGGACATTATCATCCAGGTCAGTGGCAGCTCATCTAGCTATCTGTCTCACCTGGGGACTCGCCTGGGTGGGGATATCCTGTCTCACCTGGGGACTCACCTGGGCATATCCTATCTCAAATGGATGTACCTTTTCTCATCTGGGGATACCTTGTCTCACCTGGGGACTAAGTTGGGGATATCTTTTCTCATCCAGATATCCCTTGTCTCACCTGGATATACCTTGTTTCATCCAGATATCCCTTGTCTCACCTGGAGATACCTTGCTTACTCCTCTGGAAACACTATGTCTCACTTGGGGATACTTGTCTCATCTGGGAATACCACTTTAGGATACCACATCTCATTTGGGATACTTTGTCCCAACTTGGGATACCATGTCTCACTTGGGGATACCACGTCTCATTTGGGATACTTTGTCCCAACTTGGGATACCATGTCTCACTTGGGGATACCACGTCTCATGGGGATACTTTGTTTCATCTGGGAAAAGTTAAAGTTATCTTTGCTGCTGTACAGCTCCAGCCATTGCGTATAATTGGCTGTCTTACTGGTCACATTAACCGTGTGAGCAGGAGACGTAACCATCAGCTGGTGTTGTCAGTGGTCATTGCTCCACACCCGTAATCAGCTAGGCTGTCATCTTCAGCTTCATGAAGACTTGCTACAAATTGGGATTTTCTTAAAATGGGTTGAGCGAAGAGTTGCCCAGTCATCTGAGGCGCACAGCTTGAGTTTAAATATTTACTTGCCAAGTTTGTCAGCACCATACTGTGCTTGTTGGTTTACCAAAGTGACCAATATGTGAGACCTGAGACCATGCTCACTCACTCACTCACTCACATAAAACAGGTTGATTAAATCTGATCAGTCAATAACTTTACAAATTCATTAATTAGTTTGTTCTTCTCTTCTTTCATTTTTTAAAAAAAAAATTATCAAAAGAAATTTTATGCCAAAAATAAGAATGAGAATATTAGAATTCCTGCATGGCATATAAAAAGAGAATTCTTCAAATGCATATACAACTTTTGACATGTAGACAGAAAGAACTCATTTCAATGTTGCTGAAACTTATCAGTGTTAACTAGTGTTGGGAATTGGTTGAAATCTCACAATTGATGATTGCTTCATTACGAACAAACAATCATCGAAAAATATTGGTTAGCATCATTTTTCAGATTTTCCTATCCAGGTTGTTATTGCAGATATGTATAAGATGATGCAACTTGCTACTTTAAAGTGATGACTAATATATCATGAACATAAACTTCCTTGAGTCTTAGAGAAACATTCAGTCATGGCTTTTCAGTTAGTGAAGTGAGTTTTCTAAGAATTAAACACGTTTGCAGGCCCTGACAACTTTCAGACAACAAATGTTTCAGTTTCCATCTTTCAGCACATTTCCTTGTATAAATTATGTTCTTATGCCAAATATATCCCAAATAAGGGATGTTCACATGTTACAATATCATTGGAAGATTTGATCTAAAACACAAGGATACTATGTGGTCCCAATGTACGAAAGGAGAATATTAGGATGGTGTTTATGATGTCAACTGGGTCACATTACGTCAAGAAGGAAGTGTTGGACGCATTGTATGACACAATGACATCAACCCCATTGATTGGGTAGCCATGAATCACAATATACCAGTCTCCCCACAGTCGTTGTAGCTGGTGACGTGGTGGGGCGGAGGAAGGGTGATGTCCTCCATGCAGGCGGTGCTTGACACCAAGTCTGCTCAAGTAGCTTCCTGTATACACAGTGTTTCTACTGGATTTGGTCATCAGAGTCAATTGAGGAAGTCAAGGGTTGTTCGGACTTCTCTGAAATTAATAATTTTCAAACTTTTTGATGTATATTTATGAAATATGTTTATGTGCTGAGCACATGACCTGTTTTGACCTACAAGTATGGAACTGGTATGACAGGAAGCTGTGTCATTTACATCTTAAATTGCATATCCGCAGTAACTGGAACTGGTTATACGCATTAGGACAATGTGTTTGCCGGAATGATATTTGACTTTCCGTGTTGTTTTGTTCTGAATTTCTGATACATCGTAATTATTTCGGCCAGGATGTTAAATAATATTTTCTGAGAAAACTTTTGTAATGTTAATATTATATCTGATTAAATGTAATTATCTGTGTTAAAACCACCCTTTCAGATATTAGTCATTTCTCATCAGTGATATCAACAGCTTAGCATTGGTCTTCAGCAACCCATGCTTGTCTAAGGGACGACTTGTCATCTTATCCCAATGTGGTGGGATCTGAGGGTGGGTTGTGGTTTTTTAGCCCAGTGATTAAAGCGTTCATCCATCGTGCATCATGCCAAAGGCCTGGGTTCGATTCCCCACGTGGATGCAATGTGTGAATCCCATATCTGGTGTTCTTCTCCTCTTCCTCCTTCTCTTCTTTCTTCCCCCCTCCCCCAATTGTGGAATATTGCTAAACGTGACATCAAACTCAACTCACTCACTCACTCACTCACTCACTCAATCACTCACTGTCCCAATAAGTTGCATCGATACTCATGAAGTTGATCTTTGGGGTCAAATCTTTGAAGGGCATTTAGAAGTGAAATACATAGGAAAAGCAAGATTTTATGGATGTCAACTTCTTTATTGTGAATAACACGACGTTTCTGACCTGATGAAGGAGCAAGCATACACTCCGAAACGTCGTGTTATTCACAATAAAGAAGTTGACATCCATAAAATCTTGCTTTTCCGATCTTTGGGGTGTTCACAAACCACAGTCATGTGTAGCATTTCTCACCCTCGCACTAGATTTGTTTATTAAAGGACACAATTAGCCCCTCCAGATCAAATCTTAGAGTGACTGACTAGTGGCCTAACTAACCTGTATATTGAGGACCAACCTTCTTGCAGTTCTATGTTGAATGAAAGGATCTGTTTTTATATACAATGTGAAACGGGGAATATTTCTGAAAGCACCATAAAACTCACTCACTCATTACTCACACCAGTTTTCATTGACCTCTGCTACATTATAACACATACATTGGAGTTAAATCGATTGTGAAATCCCACATTTGGCATCATCTCAGATTGTCTGTTATTTGGCATCATCTCAGATTGTCCAGTTTGATGTTTAGACTTGCCTTCAAAATAGAGACCATTTGTGCAGTTTTATTACATTGCCATGCTGAAATCTGACTTCGCTGTCTTCCTATTCTGTATTCATTCTATAAAGTACACCTCTGGCATTTCCCTGGAAACTAAGATTTAATGTTGCTTTTGACATTTGAAGTTTAGACATCTATATTTGTGAATCACATCTATCAGATAGCAAGTCTACTGCACAGTGCCCACAGCAGCAGTGAATGTGCTGTAATTGGTTTCGTTGGCGGTAAAGCGTCGTTGTCTCATCAGTTTGTTGTGTGTTTAGCTCACCTCAATTTAGAGTTGTTTTGGACAGTATTTGTTGACTTGTCCTCAAGTTGTCTAAGCAGTGTTTGAAGTTAGATACTGGTACAGAATACTGATTCAGAACTGTTCTGCCGTAACAGCAATTTCATTGTGCCTGGTTCTAGAGCTGAAACGGTAGTGCTTACCACGATACGGTACGCATTGTGGTACATGGCCTTCAGTTTGGCCCGTTTTGGTTCAGTATATTACATATGATCATAATGCAAGAGTCAAACCTTACATTGGTTAATAACATGAAAAAAATAACCATAATCTTTGTTATTTTGAATGATACAACTGTCATTTCATGACTAGATAGAAAAATGGTACGAGAACCGAAAATACTGAATTTTTCAATTGCATTACACTAGTATACCAAACTGAAGGCAAAATACAACAGTTCTGCTAATGCCGCGGTATACCGTTTCACCCCTACCTGTTTAACCTTGCCGTGAAACTTTGTAGGCAATAAGTATATGGTGTAAAGTGACTGAGTGAGTGTGGTTGTAGTCTGGTTTCGGCAGTATTCCATCAATGTCATAGCAGAGGATGCCAGAACTAGGCTTCATGCTGTGAAATTCGAATCTGGGCCCTCAGTGTCATGAACCACCACCATTACACTATCCCACTTAGGGATGGTCGGGAGCCTAGTGGTTAAAGCTTTCACATTTCACGCTGAAAACCTTGTTTCAATTCCCCACATGGGTACAATGTGTGAAGCCCATTTTTGCTATCCCCTGCCATTATTTTGCTGGAATATTGCTAGAAGCGGCGTAAAACCATGCCTACTCATTCACTATCCCTCTTACCCAAGCATGTGCGATGTTGTGTCCTTGCCTTCTAGCAATAGATACCCCACAGATTTACTATATTTGTCATCTCTCAAACTTTTGATTAAAAGTTTCTTTGTTTGTGTAATGTCTGCCTTTATCTAAATTCTGATAGATAACATGGCCGTCACAGCGGCCATATTGGAAACATCCTTCACCTTTTACTCATGCAGCTATTTTAGAATGTGCACTTCATAATCACTTTGGATCTCACTTCCTATATAAACTGGGATGGTGGATTAGCCTAATGGTTTGCAGAGGACCTGGTTTGATTCCCAACATTGGTACAATGTGCAAAGCCCATTTCTGGTGTCCCATGCCATATTTCTGGAATATTGCTGAAAGCGCCATAAAACTATACTCACTCACTCAGTTCTGGGTCAGCCGCAACTCCAGGCCCAGATAAATGAGACTATGACCTTGAAACCCTTTGTTAATCCCAGAAAAATAATCATGATCATTTTCATCCCCTCAACTTAAACATATGGACAAATTTTATGATCCCTGATCTTGATGTTTGTGTGGCACTGTGCATCACAGCCAGCCCCTACCATGGCTATAATGAATATTGCCCAGCCATCTGTGCCTCCGTTGTACACAGCCTGATACCAGGGCATGGTGCCAACCACCAGACTCCTAGAACCAAAGCCCTGTTTAATCAAGTTGTAGAAAAACACTGCTGATCTACACAGCACTGAATTCATTCCCAATACCCAGAGCACTTGGACTTCCCTGGAAACTGGCACCAATCTCACGGCAGGGAATACCACAGGCTGAATTATCACTGAAGTTAAAAACACATTACAAACTTTACCAAATGCAAATAAGTTTTGGTTTTGGTTGACTTACTTACTATGTTTGCATGGGGAATTAAGCTGTTATTATGTTTTATGTAGCAAAGGTATTGAAGAAAATGCTGAATAAACACAAACATTCTTTTCATGAACTCTACCGATAAGCATGTGAACCTTTTTCATGAAGGTGGGAGGAATTATGTCCCTTAGTGTGGAAAGTTGCCAATTGGTACTTGCGTGTCAGGTTACTTTAAGAGATCTATTTTTCAGTAGAAGCCTTGGATTGTTATGGCTTTTGAAATAGAAGTTATAGGTACACATGATATAATGGTTATGCTAAATATAACTGACACTTTATTGATTTTATTATAGTGGAAGGTTTCATATTGAATGTTATCCTCAGTTCATGAGGAAACCAACGCTTATGCATTGTCCTGAACATATTTTATATCTAAGGGCCATGTCATTCCAATGATGGTTAGGTGGAAAGGAAAATAATATGGAGTCGCTGCTTAAACTCAACACCCCATACGGACCATGCTTAACCTCAGCTGTTTGGGTACCCGTGAAGGTCCGAGTTTGAAGATTGATCTTCAGTAACCCATGCTTGTCGTAAGAGGCGACTAACGGGATTGGGTGGTCAGGCTCGCTGACTTGGTTGACAAGTCATCAGTTCCCAATTGCATAGATAATGCTCATGCTGTTGATCACTGGATTGTCTGGTCCAGACTTGATTATTTACAGACCGCTGCCATGTAGCTGGAATATTGCTGAGCGCGGCGTAAAACTAAACTCACTCACTCACTCAGCTGCTTGGGAGGACCCTGGCAAAGCTCAGCCTCCCGTGGGGACCTAGACTAACAACAGCCTCTACAGGAACCAAGGCTAACATCAGCCTCCTGTGGGGACCTAGGATATCCTAAGCCTCCTGAGGGGACTTAGGTTAACCTCAGCTTCCTGCAGGAACCAAGGCTAACCTCAGCCTCCTGCAGGCTAACCTCAGCCAAGGGGACCCTCAGCCTCCTGCTGGGGGACCTAGGCTTACCTCAGCCTCCTGCGGGGACCTAGGCTAACCTCAGCCTCCTGCGGGGACCTAGGCTAATCTCAGTCCCCTGCAGGAAATAAATAATGGCTCTATTCATGTTTGTGTAGTGACTTCTTTTTCCCTGGCATCAGGACAAATACAGAAAAAGAGGCTTTAATACATAGCATTACGTCAGTGTTTTGGATGCATTATTAAAACTATCATATATGTTTTTTAGTTTTACGAAAATAATTTTTTCTCAATTTAAATGACAACAGAACTTTTTGAGGATTCCTAGACTGATCCCTGCTTATTCATAAAATCTCTGAGTCATGTATGTGTTCCTCTCTTTCCAGCCCAAGCTCTTCACACGAGAACTGTTAGATCTGGTCTCATCTCACTTCAAGCTGAAGGAGAAACAGTACTTTGGTCTCGCCTTCATCGATGACACGTAAGTTTCAGATCATTGTCTCAAATACATCACTTACAGACTGTACATTATCATTGGCATCATGCTTTCATTGCTGGAGAGTTCATGAATGTGATGCCTGTATACAATCAATATTATAATTTAGAAGAATTACAGGTATGCAAGCTGAACAGACGAGGTATTTGAATCCAAGCAACTGTATTGATTGTGTAGTTAAACTGTATTGTGTGTAGTTTCCTCATAAACTGCATATCAGAGCCCCTTTTAACAGAGATCTTTATGCAAATACAAGTGTAACTTTATTACTTTGACATAGATTTGCAGCAAGCATGGAGCCAATATGATCTTGTGGAAACATGGTTAGGGAATAATTTTCAACAGGGCAATGTTTAATACTGACAGATTTAGCTGTGTGTTGGTATTGATAAGTGATGGGTATTGGCCTGACTTTCGTAGTGCAATGAAATTGCAAAAATGATTCGTGTATTCAAATACATACCACATTACATCTTTGTGTTCTGTAATCTTTAATTTGTTATGAAACTAAATAAAAGTAACCTTATTCACTGATGGCATCCCTGGCAGGGTTTTGACAACTTTGCTATCTGGTGCTTTTGATGACAAAGCATTCATAGCAGACATTTTTCTGTGTAGAAAGTTGGTCTCAAAAAAATGCATTTTTAATTGAAGGAATTTCTGCATGTTGTAATTTGAGTTCTTATCATGTATTGTCAAAATTATGCATGATTTTAGAAAACACAGTATACTTGTATTTTCCAAACATTTTTGGATACATATTCAGTAGTATTTCAAATCGTATGAATTCAGTGTGTTAGTAACATGTACCCATGTTGAATGTGGCTGTTTGATGATGACATTCTTAGCTGACTTTGGAAAATCTGTTATAAAGGGAGGTAACTCCAACAGCCTTGTGTGGAATGGTGTATGTGCAGGTGGAGCTGCTTTGTCAGGTGAAGAGATGTGTGTATTTATCTCTTATACAAGCTTTGATGTTGGACATCATATCTATCATCTTTTGGCAGATTCCTTCTTAAGATCTATCTTGAGTGAAGGCTGAGCAACAAGGCTGCTTCACATTGTACACTATGTATGTTGTCAATGGCTGAGCAGACGTCAGTTTATCCGGACGACATGGTGAACAAAGAAATAATATTCCACTTTTGAAAACATATCTATAATTCACATTCAATTTATTTGTTGAACTTGTTTATCTGAGAGATGTTGAAAAAAGAAAAACAGACACAAAAAGCAGTACTTTCAAGTTGAGATACAAATTGTGTGTGAAATAAGTATTCAGGGCTGTTGTCAGCAATTTCATGCACTAAGAGGAAAAAGGATAAATTTTCTAGCATTGTACATGTATATAGAGATACATATTTCAGTTTATACCAACAGTGTATGGTGATGTATATAGTGAATATATGCTACACAATCATAACACTTCCAACAAAAGTACATTATTATGAATATCAAGTGTAATATCTACAACAGGACTTATTATGAATATAGTCCAAGGTCCCGATCCCCAAAGCGTTCATAACGTTATGATCTGTCGTAACTATAGTATATCATAGGCTTACGAATGTCGTAGTGCTACGTGTGTTTTGTGGAATGGGCCCTATACTCTTTGTCCTTCACATCACCATAGACTGATGATATACAATTCTGTTTCATTTTGAAAGTTGGACACGGTGGTACGTGTCTATCAGACAGTGTATACAGGATATGGTTTTGAGTTGATGAGGTTCAGTTGGTCTGTATAGACTCGGAGCCAGCTATTGATGGAGAAGAGGTGACGTGTGACAGGTAAACACACCGTGGGGGTGGGATGGGTTAGTGACAGACCAGCAGGTAAATATTTACTGCGTACAAGTTGTGGAAATTAGATTGGGGTCATACTTGATGCAAACGATGTAGCTGGTAGAGGATGGGCTCGGTGAATGTTGTAGGACAGGTGGAATGGGGACAGTGTGTTGTTTTATTGGGGCTTGAATGAGCAGAGCATGAGACAGAGGTTCTGTCATGTACCTTATGTGCCTGATTGTGAAATGTTCACGATGACCAAACTTGCTTGATATAAGGGCTAACGTCATGTGGAATTTTGGAATTTATTAAAGAGGATATTGCCCTTCCCAAATGTGTCAGTGGTTGTGATTTATATCGCCATGTCAGCAGTCTAGTTTCATTTGTCAATTAGAAGGGGGGATGGATGAAGGGGGACGGGTAGGTCTGCTCGTGGTTTAAATGTCAGTATGGATGCCAAAAGCCTGTTTTCATTCTCCACATGGGTTCAATGTGTGAAGATTTGTAATAGACCTTGACCTTGTTGGCATATTATAATTAATTTAATTTATTCACAGTATTGTCCAATAACATATCTTAAAGCAGGGATTTACCTTGAGTCCTGTTTTTGAGGGTCCCAGGGACTCATACTCTTAAATTTCTGGGGTCCTGGACAACAAAATGGGGGTCCAGACACTTAGATATTATTATTTATAGTGTTATTGTCTTGTATATCATGATCATCACATTATTTGTTACAGTATTTGAATTGCAAATGATACCATAACTCAGCTAGTAGCAAACTCTTTGATAACTTGACTGGAATTTTTACAAAAAGTATTTGAACTTTTTCTGTGTCCCTGTGGATGCGCTAATAAATTTTGTTGCGTTCATTGTCAATTTTTATGTGTATAGGATGCAGGAATTCGCGTCCTGTAAATCGCTGTTAAAGGAAAGTTTCCCTGCTGAATTTGTGCATATAATTTAGTATCCAGGATATAGACAATGCTGACAATGTCTCGTGTACTATATGCGTTAAAGGCATTCATTTGAAGACTCGTTTGAAAACATGAAATAATCAATCTTCTGTATGCCATAGTATTGTACAGCAATGGTCATTTGTGGTCATGTTATGACAGCAGTCTGCAACCTAACGTCCCTTGTCTTAAGCCCAAGTGGTTACATTCCATTCGAGCTTGAAGGGCCGGGTTAGAATATTGGCCTTCAGTAACCCATGCTTGTCGCAAGAGGCGACTAACGTGTTCAGGTGGTCAGGCTCGCTGACATGTCATCGGTTGCAGATTGATGCTCATGCTGTTGATTACTGGATTGTCTGGTCCAGACTCGATTATTTACAGACCGCCGCCATATAGCTGGAATATTGCTGAGTGCGGCGTAAAACTCAACTCACTCACTCCATTCGATTTTGTTACCTGAGTTGTAATACATACAAATGATAACACTGACATTGGCAGTGAATGATGCTAATCGGGCTAGTTGACAGAAAAAGCATGCAGAAAATAGAATTTCAGACCAACAAACCAGTGGTCGACATCATGAGCAACAACACTGTAACTGACTGTTCCTCATCAGTCCACGCATGCCCAGGTCTCAGGTATGCATGTTAGCAATGCATATTAACCTGAAACACCTTGGTTACAAAATAGTCTCACCATGGTCTCAAGGCACATGCATGCCAAAACACCTGAAATTCTACTAATTCTCTTCATACCTTTAACATCTGACAGGCTTATTCAGGCTAGCTGCAGTGCCAAACTGCATCCATGCATGGGAATATTTGGCTCAACTTGAGATTATATAACCTGCAGAAAAATATTATTTTTGTACAAATGACACTGGTAGAAGCTGGAAAGGAAAGGTGCGATCACTGTTGAAAAGCCAGAATATTTAGGTCAGGAGCATCACAGCTTGTGGAGTGTTAATGTGGTTGTGTCTCTAACTGAGGTGGGAAGTAGCAGAACAAATATTGACAAGACCTTTGTGAAAAGCTCCAGGTTATGATGGGAGCTTTGCAGATAAAAATTCACATGGGAAATCTAAGTTTAAGCCAAACCTGGGCAGTGGGTTAGCCTCATGGTTAAAGTGTTCATTCATCACACCAAAGACCTGGGTTTGATTCTCCATATGGGTAAACTGGGTGAAGCTCATTTCTGGTGTCCCCTGCTGTGATATTGCTGAAATATTGCTAAAAGCAACAAAATACAACTCGCTCACTTAGGGTGACCTGATGATTTCACACCATCTGACATCTTGGGCTTGTGTGGGAATTGAATTGGTTGAAACACACCCAAATTCTTCTTCATAATGGTGTTCAGGTAAACCTTGTGAGATTCTCACATAATAATCTTAAAGTCAGCACTCCAAATGTACCAACTTATCCGGTCAGCCCTTTTGTCATATTTGTGTTTTCATCTGTAGATACATGGAAACAAGAAGTGATGGCATAAAATGTTACATACAATTGACATGACATTGGTGCCCCTTGGTTATGCCAGAAGCCTATAGTCTTGGGTTGAATCTTGTTTTGCCTTGATTATGTTTCTAGGTTTGTCTGCTTGTGGTTTTTACTAAAGCTGAAAACATCTCTGGTCTCCATCACTTCAGATTTTTCTCTTGCATCAGTGGTGGTGGGGTAGCCCAGTGGTTAAAGCATCACGCTGAAGACCCGGTTTGATTCCCCACATGGGTGTCCCCTGCCATGATATTGCTGGAATAGTGCTAAAAGTGGCGTAACTCCTCACTCAATCACTCAATATTTGCTGTTTCAGTTGTTTCTCAAATAGCTTTAAAATACAAATGAGAATATCATATCTTAGACTTATAGACTTAGTTATCAGTACAGTTTTTCATTTATCTCATTTTCATAGGTCTCCAACTACCTGTGCTTCTCATACACAGCGACAGAATAGATCGGGTTGTTAGGCTATGTGGGTAGACATTCCATTTCTGCATACCCTGCCAATGTGGGTTGTTCCAATTTCACTGGTTTGTCTGGTCCTGGCTCTATAATCTACAGGCTACTGTCTTATCGCCAGAATACTGCTGCGTGTGGCATTAGACAACAGTGTTGGAACAGTTGGTGAAGGTTAATTACATGACGACTAAATAACCAGACCAAGTCCATATCTCTCCATTTACGCAAAAGAGAACGTCTGCTTTATTGGTATTTCTTTTTTTCTGGTATATTTACATTTGGA